CTAATTTTTGTATTTTAAGTAGACAAAGTTTCACCATATTGGCCAGGCTAGTGTCAAACTCCTTGTGGTTCGCCCGCCTCAGCCTCCCCAAAGTGCTGGGATTACAGGCGTGAGCTGCCTTGCCCAGCCACTGGATAAGCTTCTTGACATTTTTTCTTTCATGCCCTTCAAACACCCTAAATGTCCTAAGGAACTAGGAAGACCAGTGAAGTCTTGGCTACATCAGAGTTTTCTTGACAAAATTTATGGTTATCTTAATCCATCCAGGCACTATAACAAAATGCCAAAAACTGGGTTGCTTATAAACAACAAAAAGCTATTTCCCATTGTTCTAGAGGCTGAGATGTTCAAGATCCTAGAAGCCTGCAGACTTAGTATCTAGTGGGGGCTCACTTTCTAGTTCATAGATGGCTGTCGTCTTGCTGTGACCTCACATGATGGAAGGAAGGAGTAAAGAGCTCTCTGGGATCTTTCTTACAATAAGGGCACTAGTCCCATTCAGGAGTGCACAACCCTAAAGACCTAATGATCTGCCAAAGTCCCCACCTCCTAATACCATCACCTTGGAGTTAGGATTTATTTTCTTCTTCTTTTTGAGATGGAATTTCACTCTTGTTGCCCAGGGTGGAGTGCAATGGCACAGTCTCGGCTCACTGCAACCTCTGCCTCCCAGTTTCAAGCAATTGTTCTGCTTCAACCTCCCAAGTAGCTGGGATTACAGGCACCTGCCCCCACACCTGGCTAATTTTTGTATTTATAGCAGAGATAGGGTTTTACCACATTGGCCAGGCTGGTCTCAAACTCCTGATCTCAGGTGATCTTCCCACCTCGGCCTCCCAAAGTGCTGGGATTACAGGCATGAACCACTGTTCCTGCCCTGGAGTGAGGATTTCAATAGGTGAATTTTGAAGAACACAAACTTTCAATCTATAGCACTTATAAAACCTTTTTATGATCCATATTTACTGTCTATTCCTGGATTAAATTTCATTCACTCTTCTGTTGCATAGGGCAGAAACCTACAACATGACTTGGTAGGAAGCCACATAACAGAGCCTTCAAAGACCTCACATTTTCTAGATCTTGAACCTTTCCCTTAAGCTGCTGAATTCTCTCGTAGAAAAAAACAAATCACTGAAGAGAAAGGTCCCTGCTGCAGTATACATGTGGGCAGAGAATGACTGCAGAAAGAACAAAAGTCTTCGGGGAACATAACACAGAAATGCCCTGGCTGAGAAGACAGCACCAAATGGTGCAGCAGCAAGGATGAGGCAGAGCCTGCAGGGCCACACAGGGGAAAATCCAGGCTCAGGCCTGAGGTTACATGTTATTTTCCTACTTGGTCATTTGATAACAAAGAGTTGATGTTAAATATCCTATTCTGCAGAGCTTGAACTGGGAGCTTTGGGAGACTTCCTCAGTGCATTTATGTTTACGAGGCGCCTGTAATGTTTATGTATATGAGGTGGTATGTTTTGCCTCCAATCCCAGGGAAAGCTTCAAAGCCAACTTTATCACACCATCAGCTGATGGAGAAACCCTCTGCGATCAGGAGAACCAGGTGCAATGCTCATTTATATAACGCATGTTGGTTATACGCATGTTCTCCACCATAAAAATAACTTTTTTGGAATGAATAAATTACATATGATCATGGCTTTAAAAAATTTAAATAACCTAAAAACATAAGAACAAAAAGCTAAATCACCTGATATTCTACCACCTAGAGACAACTGTTTGAGTCCCATCCTTTTATATATCTTTCCACCTATGCCCCTGCACACACACATACACAGTTTTACACAACTAAGATCTGTTGTTCTAAATTTTATTTCACTACATTTTATTTTCTTATAATTCCCCTCCTCCTTGGCTCCTGTCTCTTTTTTGGCTCAAGTCTTGATTCCTTCCTTCCTTCTACTTGCTTTGAGTTTAATTTACTTTTTTCTCTGATGTTTTAGGGTGGAAGATTAGGTTGGTTTGTTTATTTCTTCTTTTTTCTTTTTTTTTAAAACAGAGTTACCCAGGCTAGAGTGCAGTGGCTCTATCACAGTTCACTGCAGCCTCAACCTCCTGGGCTCAAGCAATCCTCTGGCCTTGGCCTCTCAAGTAGCTGGGACTACAGAAACACATCACCATGCCCAGCTAATTTTTAAATTTTTTTTGTAGAGACAAAGTCTCACTATCTAGTCCAGGATTATTCTTCTTTTTTTTTTTCCAAGACAGGATCTTGCTCTGTCACCCAGGCTGGGGTGCAGTGGTGTAATCATGGATCACTGCAGCCTAGATCTCTGGGTGTAAGTGATCCTCCCACTTCAGCCTCTCAAGTAGCTGGGACCACAAATTCATGCCACCACACATGGCTAACTTTTTCATTTGTAGAGACAGGGTCCCACTATGTTGCCAAGGCTGGTCTTGAACTCCTGGGCTCAGGTGATCCTCCCACCTCAGACTCCCAGCGTGTTGGGATTACAGACATGAGCCACAGCACCCAGCTCTTTCCTCTTCTTTTTTAATGTAGTTATTTACAGCTATAAACTTTCCTATTAGCACTGCTTTAGCTACAGCCCATGATGTTTGATATGCTGTATCTTCATTTTGATTCACTGCAAAGTACTTTCTTTTTTCTTCTCTTTGAAACAGGGTCTTACTCTGTTGTCCAGGCTGGAGTGCAGTGGCATGATCATGGCTCACTGCAGCCTCAACCTCCTGGACTCAAGTGAAATACTCACACCTAGGTCCCTTCCCTCACACCAGTCATTCTCCATTGAGATTATGATTCAATCTGAGATTGTGATCTGGATATCATGAATGTTATAAAGTCACCATGAGATTCTAATTTCTAGCCAAGGTTGTGAACCACTGCTTTAAGAAGACAAACATTGATTCTTAGGTCAGTCTTCTGGAACCCTGGCTGGGATCACAATTTTCTGCAAGAGCTAATAACCAGAATTAAAAGAGTCTTGAAAAATCACTCTCCATTATGACATGAAGATGTGATCATATTCCGTCACTAGAGGGCGAAATTTATTCATTTTCAACATTTAATAACTATCATAGCCTCAGGGTTAAGAATTCACTGAGGTTCCTCTATTAAAAACAAACAACCCCCAACTCCAAATAAAAGTAATGAAGTTCTAACAAAGGCAGGCGTCCCCAAACTTTTTACATAGGGGGCCAGTTCACTGTCCCTCAGACCGTTGGAGGGCCGCCACATACTGTGCTCCTCTCACTGACCACCAATGAAAGAGGTGCCCCTTCCTGAAGTGCGGCGGGGGGCCGGATAAATGGCCTCAGGGGGCCGCAGTGTGGGGATGCCTGAACAAAGGTCTACTAAAGCTTGCCTTTCATGCTATCAGCCCCTACCTATTTATGAAGTGAGACTTTAAGATGCAATTGAGAACACTGTGTCCTTTCGTTTGCCACATACCCTCTTCCCAAAGGGCTTGTATTTTATAGGGCGTATCGTTTTTACAAAATACATGGCTTTGCTATGTAGTCAATGTTACAAAACAGGAGGTAGGGCATCTTGAAACAGAAATTTTGCATTACTAACCAGCTCTCAAAGGGGTCAATTCTGAGGCTGCCAGTGGAGAACCATACTATGAGCAGTAGGAGGTGGAAAACCTAGGGGCAGATACCATAACTCATTTCTGAAGATATTCTAAGATGTAAACTCACACACTGATAACATGATCACTGCATGTCTATCTATCTATCTATCTATCTATCTATCTATGTATCTATCTATCTATCTATATCTGTTATCTATCCTCATGAAGACAGATCACAAATCCAGGGGATTCCAAATTGACTGTGTATTAGAATCTCTTGGTTGCTTCTTAAAACTAAAGATTCTGGGCTGGGCACAGTGGATCACGCCTGCAATCCCAACATTTTTGAAGGCCGAGGCAGGTGGATCATGAAGTCAAGAGATTGAGACCATCCTGGCCAACATGGTGAAATCCCGTCTCTACTAAAAATACAAAAATTAGCTAGGCGTGGTGGTGCCCACCTGTAGTCCCAGCTACTCGGGAGGCTGAGGCAGGAGAATCGCTTGAACCTGGGAGGCGGAGATTGCAGTAAGCCGAGATTGCGCCACTGCACTCCAGCCTGGCGACAGAACAAGACTTTGTCTCAAAAATAAATAAATAAATAAATAATTTTATGAATAAAGTATTTGAGACTAAAAGGTTCTTAGTCTCAACCCCTGGAGGTTATGATCAGTAGGTCTGGAGCAGGGCTAGGAATTTCTATTTTTAACAAGTGCCCAGGAGATTTTGCTGGACCCTGTTGCTTTTGAAAATCACTGTTATTCAAAGTTTTTCCTTTACAAAGAAACTGAGGCTGGAAGAGGAGAAGGAACTTTTCAAAGTTAGTGACATCACCAAAGCAGGATCCAGGTTCTCCTGGCCCTGATAGACTGAGACACTTGTTCAAATTCAGCAAGTGTGCTTGATCCTTCTTCTTAGGCTGTGTCACTGATAGGTGTGGTAAGCAGCTTCCAAAGACACCCACAATGAACCACACCTCCCAGCATTCACACCCAGGTGTTGGCCCTTCCCCGATGCAATCTGGGCTCATCCTGTGACTTGCTTTAATAGACAGACTAATCTGGAAGGGATGCCATGTAACTTAGGAGGTTGGGCCATTAGAGACTTGCAGCTTCTGCATGCTTCATCTGAGAACATGCATTTTCAACCCTGATATTGTGCTGCAAGGAACAAAGAAGCTCAAGGAACCACAGGAGAGCCCCATATTAAGAAAAACTAAGGCTCTGGTGAACATCCTCCAATACACTTGCAGCCAACAGCTCTTCACCAGCTATGTGAGGGAGAACACCTGGCACCTTCAAGCCACGCCCCCGGGAGTGGGGTAGAACTGCCTAGCGAATCACAGACTAACACAAATAACAAGTTGTTGTTTTAAGCCTTTCAGTTTTGGGGTGTATGCTATACAACAAAAGTCTGCTGAAACAACAGGAAAATTAACCCCCCTACCTGTTTGGCTGGAAAGAGATCCGGTCATAACCTGTGAGTTCACATAAATCCTTCTCAAGCTCTCGGAAAAGCTGCTGATATCCTTGAGCTTGGTCCAGAGGCACAAAGGGGTGAATGTTTGCAAATTCTTTCCATGTGATAGGCTGAAAAGAAAGAAGAAAAAAAAAAAGCATAGCAATAATCACTTTAATAATGATGATGAGAAAAGCTATGTGCCAGGCACTGTTCTAAACACTATACATATTTTCATTCGTTTAAGTTCCACCACAACCTTAAGTACCATTACTGTCTTCATTTAAAATGGGACATAGTTGCCTAAAAAGGGAACTTATACAAAAATATAATGTTTTGTTAACTTTTCAGGGAAAAAAAGCCCCCAAAATAGATTTCTTTCCAGGAAACACAATGAGTTGCTTCAGGTATGATTGACATAAACTCTTATATAGCACATATATTATTCTCTTTCTTCACTAAGTGGAACAAGAAACAAATGCAAAAGTAAATGGGTAGGCCAGGCACAGTGGCTTACACGTGTAATTCCAGAACTTCAGGAGGCTGAGGTAGGAGGACTGCTTGAGGCTACCAGACTGGCCGATAAGCAAGATACCAACTCTATTTTTTTTTTTTAAATGAAGGGGGAGGGAAATCTTCTTATCACAATATAAAATGATTTCTTTTGTCTGATACAACTTGTCACATCAGAATAAACATAAGAAATGAAAGGAAAAAAAGCATTGCTAAAATGGATCCTGGCCTAGTAAAGAAACTTGTCAACCACAAGAGTGAGTTACACAAATCTTCCATTGACTTGAACTCCTATCTTTCTGATACAGGAATGGATTTCTGGAAAGAAGGCTTAAGCTTCTTAATTCTACCTGAGATTTAGAAATATAAACAAATTTTTTTAAAAAAGCTTTTACTATGGCAGGTTTAAAGGGGGGTGGGAGCAGGTGAAGGATAGGATAGAAAAGCATATAATACCATATACATTTCATTAATTAAAAAAAAAAATGTTTACCCATACATTTAAATGATGAAGTGGTGAGAAATACAGGGTTTCTTCTGAAATCGTTGAATAGCAATGTAAATACTTATTAAAATAGTTCTTTAATCACAGAATCACAGCCCCAGTAGATTTCACTAGTTCTAAGCCTCAGTGGATGCTAGAACACTGCCCCTTGCTGAGTATCCCCTTCAGAAGTGAGCTACTTACTGCAAGTTCAGATGAACTATTCAGCTTCATGGTGCAGGATCCCTTTAAGAAGAACATCCAAAATATATCGTGTTAGTGATTTTCTATACTCCATCAATCAACCCTCAACTCTCCCCGCATGGCCACCCCTTTGTCACTCTTGGAGCATTTTAGGTAGGAACAAATGTGGTGGGATTGCGGTAGCTTTGAAATGTGGGAAAAAAAAGGCCACAAATAACTACCAGTGGAATCATGCTGTGAACAAGGGAAATGTCTTTATTTTCCAGTTTCTTCATATACCGGACAATATTTGTTTCAGAGTGGTAGCTGTGAACACAAAACACAGAATTAGGGTCGCAAAAGGTAGATATGCGTCCATGCACATCCTCCTGCAATTTAAGACACACCGAAATCTGCCTTCAAAATGCAGATCGATTTTAGCCATGGGCAATATGTCAACTACACTCAGAGAGAAGGGCACAGATCCCCACAAACCTCAGAGGTTGCCTTGGACAAGAAGCTGCCTGTGGGCATGTGTTGAAGGTTGGGAAGAAGAGGATTTAGGGCTCCTGGGAATGAATTTCAGCCTGGCAATTATTCATCTTAAATCCCTGCTTCCTGACTGTGCAAAGGGAGCAGAGCCACCAGGAAACGAAGTGTACTTTTCCCAAGTCAGGAATGGGATCCTTACCAGGATAAGATACTTATGAGCCATGGCTGAGCCACAAAAACCAGGCCACAGCAGGCGAAGTTAATACAGCGAATTGTGACAGCACAAAACGCAGAAGTCACACAAGACACACAAACCTGTTGAACACTTGATGGGTGAGGAACTGACTGGTCCTCTTGAACACAGACCCTGGAATACCTCTGCGCTCCTCTCCCATGCTTTCGGCAACCAGTTCCTGAAGGAGAAACAGAGACAATGAGGCCAGCGATGTATCTAGAGCTATGTGTGGACATGCAGGCTTCTGAATGGCTGGGCCACAAAGCACTCAAAATGGATCAAATATATCATTTTATTTATTATTTTTCAAGACAGGGTCTTGCTCTGGCACCCAGGTTGGAGTACAGTGACACAACAATCTCGACTCACTGTAGCCTCGGTCTACTGGGCTTGATCCTCCTGCCTCAGCGTCCTGAGTAGCTGGGGCTACAGGCACATGCCACCATGCCTGGCTAATTTTTGGATTTTTCTGGAGATGGGGTTTCACCATGCTGCCCAGGCTGGTCATGAACTCCTGGCCTCAAGCAATGTGCCTGCCTTGGCTTCCCAAAGTGCTGGGATTATAGGCATGACCCACTGTGTCTGGCCGAAGCTATAAACTTAAAAGCTAAAACTACTAAATCTTAGAAGAAAATCTATGGGCAGATCTGCATGACCTTCAATCTGGCAATGGTTTCTTAAATGTGACACCAAAGGAATAAACAATAAATATACAAAAAAATTAGACACATTGAATTTCAATAAAATTTAAAATGTGTGTGCCTCAAAGAACATTATCAAGAAAGTTAAGAGACTACCCAAAGAATGGAAGAAAATATGTGTAAGTCATGTATCTGATAAAGGTTGAATATCCAGAATATATAATGAATACATGGCTTGATCCTCATTCCTCCCCAGGCTAATAATACAGCTAATACAGATTGAATATTTGTCCCTGCCAGATCTCAGGGTGAAATGTGATCCCCAATGTTGAAGATGGGCTTGGTGCTGTCTTTTCACAGTAATAAGTGAGTTCTCACCCTTCTAGTTCCCATGAGAATTGATGAGAAGTAATTGTTAAAAAGAGCCTGACATCTCCCTCCTTTCTCTTTTCCTTTCTCTCTCACCATGAATGCCTGCTCCCCTTCCACTTTCTCCAAGAGAGGAAGCTTCCAGAAACCCTTACCAGAAGCAGATGCTTCTTGCACAGCACAGCCTGCAGAACTGTGAGCCAAATAAACCTCTTTTCTTTGTAAATTACTTGGCCTCATTTGCATTCCTTTATACAATGCAAATGAACTAAAACAATGGCCCTCTTGACCCCTTAGTGATGCTCCAGAAACATTTCTCAAATGCATTAACCAAATATCTGTGATTAAATTTAGTGCAGAGTTCCACAGAGAAGGAGCTGAGTCCTGCTTATTAACTGAAGTTTGAAAGAGAATGTTGTGATGCTTCTTTGATGATTTATGAATGTTATCTGGCATAATCCTTTGAAGTCGTCTCTCAAAGAGGACACAGATAACCAAGACAACACCACTCAGCACTCTTGAAGGTATTTCTACTTCCTTTAATTGATCCATTCAACAAATATTTACTTCATGATTAATACACACCAGGCTATAGTCTGCTGTGATTAGCTCCTTGACACGGGCCTAGGCAGCTACTGTTTGCTCTCTTTCACTCTCAGGCCATGAAATGGTAACTCTTCTCTTGCTTGTCCCTGCTACTTCATTATTTTAGAAAGCAAGTCATTACACTGAACTGCGTATAGCTTTCATGTACCTGCTCTCCCAGCCTTTGTGACTGCTTTGTCCAGCATCCAGTACACTCAGACCCTTCTTCCTTTCCCTTCATTGTGCCATCTTGGTCTAGATAACTCCTGCTCATCGTGTTGGTAAGGTGCTCATCTGTGAATTCCCAGAACATCTTCACACATCACCCACCTGGATTCTAATCTTGAGCTTGTTTGTCTGAATCCCTAAGAAACTGTAAGCTCCATGAGGACAGAAAGCATGTCTAATTCACCACTGTATCCTCAGGGCCTAGCATAGCACCTGGCACATATTGAGTCCTCAATAGATATGTATTAAATGCATATCATAATTTTCCAATGAATCACATAACCAAGATGCCAACGTCTTGAATCTTTGTATTAGAGGCAGTTTCAATTAAGCACCATTAACAATCTTTCCAACTAGCCTAGCTGCATAATACTGGCTGGAGCCCTAGAGTAGTGACCTCCAGCTGTCAGCAGTGACTAACAAGGGACAGTCAGCGGAGTAATTTTAACAGCAAGCTACCAATGTCCCATTTGGGTCCCTTCTCCCTCACATTCAGAGGATAAGCTACCTTTGCTACCATCTCTAATAGTCATGACAAGGAATGCATGTTTTTATTTTACTTACTGCAGATGACTCACAACCAAAGATCCACAACAAGTCGTCCAGATCTTTTTCATTGACTGTTTCATCAAGAGAAATACCAAGCTACAGAAACAAAACCAAAAATGGAAAACATCAACTCTAAATTGCAAGATCAGTGGAGGAATCCCAAGAGAGGTCAAAGGGGAGATGGTGCTAAACAAAATCCCATCATTCCAACATAACAGGGTACCATTATATCCAAGCTAATGCCTAGAAGAACGTGGCTGGATCAGTCCCAGGCTTCACATGGCTGGGAGTTTATCCAGCCACCCGTGAACTCTAACGTTCCATGGTTGCAGGACGCTCCTGTTAGAGCTAGACATGCTTATCTTTTTCTCCCCATAACCTACACTACCCTATCAGTTATCAGAGCCTTTATCTTAAACTATCAGTCATACTGTGAAGAGAGTATTATAAGCAAAATATATGCATTTCAGTCCCACATATGAAAACAAAAAGTCTAAAAGAAAGCAAAGGGTGAATGATCCTTTACTGAAAAGATTAGAGTATTGCATATTGTAAATAAAACTGGTTTATGAAAAAATAGACTGTGCCTAAAGTTTTCTTTGAATTTTTAAAAACAAAGAGGAAAGCTTTTAATGAGAAAGGATGTGAGAATTTGAAGAACTGATAAAAATACTGAAAACTTGACTTACTGTGCCATCCTCAAAGAGCCGAAAATTGATCTGCCGCTGAGCAGCCCTGCCTAACACCTCCTTCACTGAGCAGCCACACTGAATCTTCAAGGTGTCAAAGAACAGGTCATGCTGGAGTTGATGCCCTGCTCGCTTGAGACCTAGACAAGATGGGAAAGCCCCCAATCTCCGATATTGAAACCTACTCCTCAGCCATTGACATGTCAGAGTAATAAAGAGATAAATTCTACTAGACTCTGTTGCTGGTCCTGGGCAGTGTTTTGGTGATTGCTTTTTTTTTTAAAAAAAAAAAAAAAAAAAAAAAAAGCCGGGCGCGGTGGCTCATGCCTGTAATCCCAGCACTTTGGGAGGCCGAGGCGGGTGGATCACGAGGTCAAGAGATCGAGACCATCCTGGTCAACATGGTGAAACCCCGTCTCTACTAAAAATAAAAAAAAATTAGCTGGGCATGGTGGTGCGTGCCTGTAATCCCAGCTACTCGGGAGGCTGAGACAGGAGAATTGCCTGAACCCAGGAGGCGGAGGTTGCAGTGAGCCGAGATCGCGCCATTGCACTCCAGCCTGGGTAACAAGAGTGAAACTCCATCTCAGAAAAAAAACTAAACCTGCTTATTATTATGCTATAGAAAATTATGAAATACATATAAAAGAGTAAGGAAAATCTCCATAAAAATTACATTACTGCTTGTATTTTGGTGTATTATATCTCAAGAAATGGGGAAGCAGGAACTATCAGATATATATTTATATTTCATTGTACCTTTTTTTTTTTAACAGATAGGGTCTCACTCTGTTGCCCAGTCTGAAATGCAGGAGCATGATCATAGCTGATTGCATTTTCAAATTCCTGGGCTCAAGCTCAAGAAATCCTCTTGCCTCACCTCCCAAGTAACTGGGATCACAGGCCCATGCCACCATACCCAGCCACTAATTTTTTAAATTTTTTGAAGAAAGGGATCTTGCCATGTTGCTCAGGTTGGCCTTGAACTCCTGGACTCAAGCAATCCTTTCACCTAGCCTCCCAAAATGAGGGTATTATAGGTGTGAACCACTACACCTGGTCTCATCTATGCTTTCCTATAGATCACTGTCTTAAATCATTTTTAACAGCTACATAATAGTCAAACATATAGATGTACCATGATTTAATCACTTCTTTTTTTTTTTTTTTTTTTTTTTTTTGGAGACAGAGTCTCAGTCTGTTGCTCAGGATGGAGTGCAGTGGAGCGATCTTGGCTCATTGCAACCTCTGCCTCCTAGGTTCAAGCGATTCTCCTGCCTCAGCCTCCAGAGTAGCTGGGACTACAGGCAGGTGCCACCATACTAATTCTTGTATTTTTAGTAGAGATGTAGTTTCACCACATTGGTCAGACTGGTCTTAAACTCCTGACCTTGTAATCCATCCGCTCTAGCTTCCCAAAGTGCTGGGATTACAAGAAAGAGCCATCGTGCCTGGCCTATTTTAATTTTTTTATAGAGATGAATCTCACTTGCCCAGGCTGGTCTTAAACTACTGGCCTCAAGCAATCCTCCTGGCTCAGACTCCAGAGTAGCTGAGATTACAGACACAAGTCACCATGTCCAACTCACTAAACAACAGCATTCTTCTGATTGCCAGTGTAATGGGATAAACACTATTTTATTGCTTTATTTTATATTTCTTTGATTAATAGCAAGGCTAAAATTTTATATATGTCCATTGGCCCTTTGTTTCTATACAGATTTCTTTTAAAATTACATTTAAAGTTCTTTGCCCATTTTAATATTAGGGAATTCATCTTTCTTATGTTTGGGGCTAGTGGGAGAGTAAGAGTTCTGAATATTAAAAATATCACAGTGTGGGCCAGACGCGGTGGCTCATGCCTGTAATCCCAGCACTTTGGGAGGCCGAGGCAGGTGGATCACGAGGTCAAGAGAACGAGATCATTCTGGTCAACATGGTGAAACCCCATCTCTACTAAAAATACAAAAAAAAATTAGCTGGGCATGGTGGTGCATGCCTGTAGTCCCAGCTACTCGGGAGGCTGAGGCAGGAGAATTGCTTGAACCCAGGAGGTGGAGGTTGCGGTGAGCCGAGATCGCGCCATTACACTCCAGCCTGGGTAACGAACGAAACTCTGGATCAAAAAAAAAAGAAAAAAAAGAAAAAAAAAAACACAGTGTGGCTCACACCTGTAATCCCAGAACTTTGGGAGGCCAAGTCGGGTGGATAATGAGGTCAGGAGTTCGAGACCAGCCTGGCCAACATGGTGAAACCCTGTCTCTACTATAAATACAAAAATTAGCCAGGCTTGGTGGCGGGCACCTATAATCCCAACCACTCAGGAGGCTGAGGCAGGAGAATTGCTTGAAACCAGAAGGCAGAGGTTGCAGTGAGCAGAGATCATGGCACTGCACTCCAGCCTGGCGACACAGCAAGACTCCAAAAAAAAAAAAAAAAAAAGGAAGAAAGAAAGAAAAAGAACAACAACAATAACAAAATACCCATAGATGTTGAAAGTACCTTTCCTGGTTTCTCATTTGACTTTTAATTTTGCAAATAGTATTGGACATAAAATGTTTTCAATTTTACTTACTCTACTTTATCAGTTTTATTACGCCCAAATGTTTTAGACAGATTACCAACTCACCTTCTGACAAAATCAAAGTGGCATTATGTACCCTCCTGGCAATATGCTCCAGCCCACGGGAACCATGGTAGATTGCAAACATGGCAGCCATATTCGCCAAGAGGGCCTAAAGGATAAGAACATTTAAAGGATCATTTAAAGAATCACGTGATGGAGGACAATTAGCGGGAGGGAGTAATTACCTGACTTGGGATGCCAGAACTGAAGACAGGGACAAAACAAGGTGATCAGATTTCCTACATTCTTTGATAGTTGGGGACAATTAGTATATAACTTGCCCAACTATGTGGAGGGAAATGGCCTCCAAGACACCCTGGAGTTACTACTATACTAAACCTTCACATTTGACTATTACAAAGGGCTTCATCCATGCAACACAAGCATGTCACCCTTAAGGGCAAAGATCAGACTACCATCAGACATTAAGAAGCAATATCAGTGAAGCAATAAAGACTTCAGGGAGAAAAAGTGAGATCTGAGAATTTTACACTCAACTGGGCAGTTCTTCAAGAATAAAAAGGAACAAGCAATGTACAAACATCCAAGGACTTCAGGAATAAAATTCTCCTAAAACCGTAAATAAAACACTAGAGGCTGAACTTCTGCCAGCCATGGTTGAATGTAGAATCTGTGGCAAAGGACTGGCCAAAATGGAAATGTGCAACTCAGCTGGGAGTGGGGTGGTGCACAACTGTGGTCCCAGTGACTCCAGAAGCTGAGATGGATCACTTGAACCAAGGATTTCGAGGTTACAGTCACCTGTGATTGCATCACGGAACGGACTCCAGCCCAGTTGACAATGTAAAACCCTATCTCTGAAAACTACAGTTGAATGGAAGATTGATGATTAGGAGCAGCTCAGGATTGCAGCTCCCAGCAAAAGCGTGGAGGGTGACTGGACGCCGCATTTCCAGACAGATTTTTATTGCCCACAGACCAGGAGATTCCAAGGTGGAGGAGCCCCAAGATCAGACTACCATCAGATAGTCTGTATATCCGGCTGTTTGGGCTGGCACTGCTGTTTTCGCCTGCGTGGCTGTTTTGCTGGCACCCAAGCCAGATGGTTCTCCATATAAAATACACAAGCCTGGGCGCCATTTTAGCTGATGAATGGGAGACAGAATTGGTCTGCTAAAAAGGGGACTGAAACAGGGAGCCAGGCCAGGAGATACTTGGGCAAAAAAGTGCCACAAATCTCAGTGTGGTTGTTTCAGCCAGCACAGTGGGTCACCACACAGGAAATCACACAGATCCCGGTGCCTTTTCAATAGGTGGCTGGAACACCTGGGAAACAGAGTCAACTGTTCAACTGAAAAAAAAAAAGGTGGGGGGGCTCTGAGGCAGGGAGCCAGGTGATCAAGCTCAGCTGGTCCCAACCCCACAAAAAAACAGCAATCAGAAATGCTCTGGATTGAGAGTTTCACAGCAAGCTGAACCTGGGATGGTCTGGCTCTGTGGGGGAGGGGTGTCTGCCATTACCGAGGCAGTCCACCACTATGGAGGTAGTTTGCCATTGCCGAGTCAGCCCGCCATTACAGAGACAGTCCGCCATTGGTGAGACAGTTCTAACTACACCTGTATAAACAGGACTGCAGGGAAGTTCACACGGCAGCTGGGTGGAGGCCAGAGCAGCTCAGCAAAGCCTCTGCAGGCAGACAGTGACTAGGCTGCCTCCTCGCTGGGCAGGGCAGCCCTGATAAAAGGCAGCAGCACAACAGAAACTCATGAATAAAGCCCTAACTCCCCAGGACAGAACACCTGGGGGAAAAAAAAGGAGGGGTTTATGAGTTCTGCTGTAGCAAACTTAAATGTACTTGCCCAGCAGCTCTGAATGAACAATGGAGCTCACAGCTCAGCGCTTGAGTTCCTATAAAGGACAGACTGTCTCCTCAAGCAGCTCCCTGACCCCTGTATATCCAAAGAGTCACCTCATAAAGTAGAGCTCAGACTGACATCTGGCAGGTATCTTTCTGGGACAAAGATAGCAGAAGAAGCAACTGGCAGCAACCCTTATTGTTCTGCAGCCACTAGAGGTGATCCCCAGGCAAGTAGGGCCTGGAGTGGACCTCAGCAGTCCTACAGCAGAGGGGACAGACTGTTAGAAGGAAAACTAAGAAACAGAAAGAAATAACTTTATCATCAACAAACGGGACGTCCACTCAAAGACCCAATCTGAGAGTCAACTACTACAAAGACAACAGATGGATATATCCACAAAGATGGGAACAAACCAGCACAAAAAGGATGAAAACACCCAAAACCAGAACACCTCTCCTCCTACAAGGGATCACAACTCCTCACCAGCAAGGGAACAAGGCTGGATGGAGAAGGAGTGTGATGAATGGACAGAATCAGGCTTCAGAAGGTGGGTAATAAGAAACTTCTGTGAGCTAAAAGAACATGTTGTAACCCAATACAAAGAAACTAAGAACCCTGAAAGAAGATTTGATGAAATGCTAATAAGAATAAACAACTTAGAGAAGAATATAATTGAATTGATGGAGCTGAAAAACACAACATGAGAACTTCATGAAGCATACACTAGTTTCAACAGCTGAATTGACCAAGCAGAAGAAAGGATATGAGAGGTCAAAGATCAACTCAGTTCAATAAAACGAGAAGGCAAGCTTAGAGAAAAAAGGGTAAAAAGGAATGAACAAAGTCTCCAAGAAATATGGGATTATGTAAAAAGACCTAATCGACGTTTGATAGGTGTACCTGAATGTGACTGAGAGAATGAATCCAAGCTGGAAAATACTCTTCAGGGTATTATCCAGGAGAACTTCCCCAACCTAGCAAGGCAGGCCAATATTCACGTCCAGGAAATACAGAGAACACCACAGAGATATTCCTCAAGAAGAGCAACAGCAAGGCACTTAATCATCAGACTCAACAGCATTGAAATGAAGGAGAAAATGCTAAGGGCAGCCAAAGAGAAAGGTCAGGTTACCCAAAAAAGGAAGCCCATTAGACTCACAGCAGATCTCTCAGCAGAAACCCTACAAGCCAGAAGAGAGTGGGGGCCAATATTCAATATCCTTAAAGAAAAGAATTTTCAACCCAGAATGTCATATCCAGCCAAATCAAGCTTCATAAGCGAAGGAAAAATAAAATCCTTTGCAAACAAGCAAGTACTCAGAGATTTCATCACCACCAGGCCTGCTTTACAAGAGCTCCTGAAAAACACACTAAACATAGAAAGGAATAACCAGTAATGGCCACTCCAAAAACATACCAAATGGTAAAAAGCATCAACACAATGAAGAAACTGCATCAACTAATGGGCAGAACAGCCAGCTAGCATCAAAATGGCAGGATCAAATTCACACATAACAATATTAACCCTAAATGTAAATGGGCTAAATGTCCCAACCAAAAGAAACAGACTGGCAAATTGGATAAAAAGCCAAAACGCATCCATTTGCTGTATCCAGGAAACCCATCTCACATGCAGGGATACACAAAGGCTCAAAATAAAGGGATGGAGAAAGATTTACCAAGCAAATTGAGAGCACAAAAAAGCAGGAATTGCAATTCTAGTCTCTGATAAAATAATTTTGACTTTAAACCAACAAAGATCAAAAGAGACAAAGAAGGACATTACGTAATGGTAAAAGGATCAATGCAACAAGGGCTAACGATCCTAAATATACACGCACCCAATAGAGGAAGCACCCAGATACATAAGGCAAGTTGTTAATGACTTGCAAAGAGACTTAGACTCCCACACAATAATAGTGGGAGACTTTAACACCCCATTGTCAATATTAGACAGATTAACCAGACAGAAACTTAACAAGGATATCCAGAACTTGAACTCAGACCTGGAACAAGCAAACCTAAAAGACATTTACAGAACTCTCCACCCCAAATCCACAGAATGTACATTCTTCTCAGCACCACATCACACCTACTCTAAAATTGACCATATAATTGGAAGTAAATCACTCCTCAGCAAATGCAAAAGAGCAGAAATCCTAACCAACAGTCTCTCAGACCTCAGTGCAATCAAGTTAGAACTCAGAATTCAGAAACTAACTCAGAACCACACAGCTTCATGTAAACTGAACAACTGGCTCTTAAATGTTGACTAGATAAACAATGAAATGAAGGCAGACATAAAGATGTTCTTCGAAACCAACAAGAACGAAGACAAAACATACCAGAATCTCTGGGACACATTTAAGCAGTCTCTAGAGGAAAATATATAGCAATAAATGCCCACATGAGAAGCAAGGAGAGATCAAAAGTTGACACCCTATCATCAAAATTGAAAGAGCTAGGGGAGCAAGATCAAAAAAACTCAAAACCTAGCAGAAAACAAGAAATAACTAAGATCAGAGCAGAACTAAAGGAGATAGAGACACAAAAATCCCTTCAAAAAAAAATCAATAAATCCAGGAGCTTGTTTTTTGAAAAGATCAACAAAATAGACCACTAGCCAGATTACTAAAAAAGAAAAGAGAGAATAATCAAATAGATGCAATAAAATATGATAAAGGGGCTATCACCACAGATTCCACAGAAATACAAACCATCAGAGATTATTACAAAAAAACTTTTTGCACATAAACCAGTAAACCTGGAAGAAATGGATAAATTCCTAGACACTTGCATCCTCCCAAGCCTAAACCAGGAAGAAGTCAAAACCCTGAATAGACCAATAAAAAGGTCTGAAGTTGAGGCAGCAATTAAGAGCCTGCCACCCAAAAAAAAGCCCAGGTCCAGATGGGTTCACAGCCGAATTCTACCAGACATACAAAGAGTAGCTGGTACCATTCCTTCTGAAACTATTCCAGACAACCCAAAAAGAGGGAATCCTTCCCAAAACATTTTATGAGACCAACATCATCTTGATACCAAAACCTGGCAGAGACTCAGCAAGAAAAGAAAACTTCAGCCCAATATCCATGATGAACATAGATGCAAAAATCTTCAATAAAATTCTGGCAAACTGACTGCAACAGCACATCAAAAAGCTTATTCACCATAATCAAGTAGGCTTCAGCCTGGGGATGCAAGGCTGGTTGAACGTACGCAAGTTTATAAACGTAATTCACCACATAAACAGAACCAAAGACAAAAACAACATGATTATCTTCACTG